GTTCTGATGCAATCTGAACGTGTTGGTGTTGATATCGGGAACGTTATTGACGTAAGATGCGCCTGAGGGCATGACTAATTGAGATGTTACAATTGGAGGTGATAGTGCTAACTGCTGAAGTTGTTGCTGATTTGAATGTAACACAAACGGTGATATGCCATTAGATTGTGGATTGTTATTGAGGTTGTTGCTAGATGCCAGATGTTGAAGATTATATGCAGATAACGACGTATTTGGAGTTGCTGCTGTGTTGATGCCGAATTGTGACAGCGTCGTGTTGATCATTTGAGGTGGCGACGTTGACATGAACTGAGTGTTGTTGTAGGCGTCCATTGGCATCTGTATATTCTTCGAGTTCATCACAAATGACGAATACATATTCTGTATGCACTTCTTGGTTAGCAGTGATATCGAATTCGATAAGATGTGAACGATTGCAATCAGAATCGCATGAAGGCACAGTATGATGACGATCAAGCTAAATGAATGGTAGCCAAGAAAAAAGAAAACGAGACAAAGGCAAAAGACCAATGAATGCTGCGATAATAACAAACATTATTCTGATGCAATCTGAACGTGTTGGTGTTGATATCGGGAACGTTATTGACGTAAGATGCGCCTGAGGGCATGACTAATTGAGATGTTACAATTGGAGGTGATAGTGCTAACTGCTGAAGTTGTTGCTGATTTGAATGTAACACAAACGGTGATATGCCATTAGATTGTGGATTGTTATTGAGGTTGTTGCTAGATGCCAGATGTTGAAGATTATATGCAGATAACGACGTATTTGGAGTTGCTGCTGTGTTGATGCCGAATTGTGACAGCGTCGTGTTGATCATTTGAGGTGGCGACGTTGACATGAACTGAGTGTTGTTGTAGGCGTCCATTGGCATCTGTATATTCTTCGAGTTCATCACAAATGACGAATACATATTCTGTATGCACTTCTTGGTTAGCAGTGATATCGAATTCGATAAGATGTGAACGATTGCAATCAGAATCGCATGAAGGCACAGTATGATGACGATCAAAAACGACGCTAATCATCAATGGTAACTATGGGGATGGGATGCATCCGTCATAGACTTTAGGAGATGCTTCGTAGACGAATGCTAAAATGAACTGTGTGTTGCATACTTCAGACATTAAA